GCGTCCGCCCTCTAAGATTTTCGTATCATTTGCTCTCCATTTTCTGAGTAGAAATCCTGCTGCTTGTAGTAACTCTGACAATTCTCTTCTTAATTTAATTACTTGTTCCACGGTGTGACTATCTGTCAGCACGTTATTCATATAAAAGTCATGAAGCAGTGCTTCTACTGTTGCTTGTCGAGTAACTGTTTCTGGTTGCATAGTTAGATGTAGACAACGCATCGCTAAATAGGGTGCACAAGTGATACCGTATGTCACTGTGTTTAAAGTCTATATTCGTAGTGCCTCTGTAGTCATTCCCTTCAAATGATCCATTGAAGATCTCGATCCTCTGCTGACATCCAGATTTGCTGGGACATCATTTTGATGTCTGCCGTCATTACATATCGATGTGCTTTGACACGGATGATAATACTCCACAAGTTATGCTGCAGATTCGGCCCACTTAGCAATTCTTGATTCAAGGATGTTTCTGTGGTTGATTTTGACGAGTCATCGAAAACGACTCTTAATTTTGTCGTTATGCTAGTTGACTTTACTACTGGCTGATGCGGTAAATAGAAAAGCTCTCTTCCTATTGCGGAATCTGGTATTGCTTTCAAGAACATGTGCCCTAAATTTTCGAACTCCTTTAGAAATTTGTGATAATCTTCTCGCAATCGCGGTTGCTGATTGAGTTTTCTCTCGATTGTCAAAAATCTCTTGATTGCTACGCCTTCTGAGTCGCCTCTGACTTATCTGTTGGCAGACGTACGATGTATCTTCCATCCGAATTCCTTTTTATCATACGTAAAAAGAAATCTTCTGCTTGCTTCTCTTGCGATGTAAACAGACGCTTTTGATTACGTGGCAATATTTCCTCTATGCTCCAAAACCTCTTAAGCTGCTGATTTAAATCAATAGTAGTGATATGGCATATTCGTTTACTATTTGAGAACTTCATATTGATCAACTCTCCGACTATCACCCATCCTAATTAAGTCTCTTGTTCTATTCCAAACACTCTAAAAGTTTACATAAAGAGAGGCAAAGACCACTTTCCCATTAGGACGTGGTTTATAAAATATTTTGTGATGATTGCGATGCTGGTTATGTCGGCCAGACTAAGAGGAGACTAAGAACTAGACTGCAAGAGCATATGTCAGACATAAGGAAAAAAACGGGACCCCCTTTGGTCATTACGGGCCACAGAATTAGATGCAACCACAATTTTGATTGGAATAACGTATGAATTTTAGATAGTAAATCTTACATTAAATATTTAATTTCTGAAATGATTCACATCAGAGACAAAAACAAGGTTTAAACAGGCAGAATTATACAGAAGCATTGCCTGATTCCTATCTTCCCATTATAATACAATCTCTTTCTCCCTTTTAACTTCCCTCTTCCCTCCCTCCCCCCCTCCTCTTAATCTATCCTCTCCATACCATTTTCTTAGTTCGTTTCCTATTTTTACTTAATTTTTACTTATCATTTACACACGGGTTGACAAAAACGAGTGGTCTCCATTGCAATTTTGCTTCAACCATTGTACTTTATATCATATCACATACTATAATCTTACACTTCGGACTAAATTTTACTATCTGACACTACATTAGCGGATTGTACTTATACATATTGCGATTATTAAGATATCGAGTTTTACTTTTATTTATAAGAATCACTATTAACGTTTTTATTTATACTTTCCAAAAATTTTTTTATAATCCACTTCCATATATTTTATATATTTATAAAATTCATATTCACTTTTTTTACTATATTACCGAATTTTACATGATTTGACTTTTTATACATTTCAAATTTTATACCATCTTTATATATTTATAGAATTCAATCTTTCTTTTTACTATTTATATTGGAAGGAATTAAACCAATAAATAAATAACGTTATAAACAACATTTACATACTTGTACCCACCGTTTTTTTTTGGGAATAAATTTATGACCTAAATATCCAATATCTATTTTTTGATCATCTATTCTTGCAAATTTTTAAATAAATAATCTTTGTTATTTTGCCTTTGTACTTCAATCGTTTTATATACTAGATATGTTTAACATTAATAATGACTCGATCGGAGTCGAAACGTTTGTTATTTTAATGTAATCTATTTATTTGTATCTTTGCATCAGTACGTACATTAACTTTGTTATTTTGGCTCGTAGCTCTTCTTAACATAATCTTATTTAATTTCATTACTTCAGCCATATTATATTATGTATATTTGAATCATAGTTATCACATACACAGACGCGCGCGCGCGCGCGCACGCACACACACACACACACACACACACACACACACACACACAACTCATAAAAAATCTGTTATATAATTTTCATAAACACATAATAAGTTAAATTGACGTCAGATACAAATATGTATGAATAAGAAGAGTCATTACGATGAAATATAACATCCTGTATATTTAAAATAAAACTAGACTTTTGAGATATTATAGAAATTTTATTTTTAAAGCATATTTGAAATAAATGCAATTATCTTAGAAGGTTATCATAAACTTTTTGCACTATTTTAAAATATGCATATGCAGAATATTATCTAACACGATTTCAGTAAACAATTAATATAAAACTTTCGTATTTTTTCTTTGCAGAAATGTTGGACCAATATTTTGTTACGCAATTATTTGTGCTCTTCTTGGCTGCATATGACACGTCTGCTAAAACAATATCTAACGCATTGTACGAATTAGCTTTAAATCATACTATTCAAAACAGACTTCGCGAAGAAATAAGAAATATATATATAAAAATTACTGGAGAAATAACATTTGACGATATGAATACGATGTTCTATCTGGATGCAGTCTGTAAAGGTAAGTCATTCATTATAATTAATTTTAAAATAATTGATGTAAAATAAACGGTAAAACTTAAATATGATAAAATCTAGATGATACATATTGAAAAAAAACTAGTGTAAAAATTAAAAAGTACAACCTAAGTGGTTGTATCTATCTTTACTAAGTAAGTGATAATACGCGATATACCTTTTTGTATTTTCATTAAAAGTTTTTATTTCAACTTCTTCTCCTAAAAAAATAATAGTAACTTTTAAAAAGTAAAACATAAGAATGGTACTATCCTTATTATTTTTAATTCTAATGACATTGTGACGGGTTCAAAAAATCGATTTGTTTTTGCATTTTTGTAATGCTTGGAGTCTTAAAAATATGTCCTTAAAATATTATGTTGAAATTTATAACGAAACTGTAATAAATATGTGATGGAGTAGCACGTGGTCAGATGCATAAACTAATCGGTTGTAAAACTTTTTGTAAACACGTTTTCGCAAATTAATAAGCTCTTAAAGTGTATTTCGCTTACGTTTTTATTTTAAACAAAACAAAAGGTTTTTACAAAACCTATTCAAAACAGCACATACAATGTGCTCTGTTTCCTGTTTCTTGCTTTTTATCTCTTGCTTTTTTCCTCTTTGCAACCGTTTTATCGACAAATGAATTTTTTGTTACGTATTTCCTGTATCTTCCAAAGTTCGTTAACTGTTGTTTGATCTAAAACAAAAAATCATATAAAAAGCAGAAAGACAAGATGTAAAAATAACAAAAAACAAGAAAGAGAAAACAAAAAGCACATTGTAGAATAATAATAACTCTTTGAATGCTAAGAAGTGCGATCGCATTTCTCACAAAACTTCTGATAAGTATATAATAAATGCTACGAGCGCGATAGCGCAGATAAAATTGATAGAGAAATTTTTGTAAAAGTGAGAAATAAAATACTAATTGCGTGCCACGAATATTATATAACGCTTATTACACTTAAGTCTAATAAGTATTTCAGTATGTCGAATTGTAAGAAATGCTCTTAGAATTTGACGTACTGAAATAATTGTATAATTTGTATGTCAATAATTATTTTGTAATGCTTATCGTAATTATTGTCTAATTTCACTCTTTCGACATTTCTATAACAATTTTATCAGTGTAATTAAAAAGCAATCTAATACGGATCCAATACAAATGGGGTCCAATATTCATTTTAATTTCATCATTCTAATTTATAATTTAACGAAATTATTTAAAGTATGTGAAAAATAAAAAGATAGTGTAATAGGGGGAGAAGATAACAGGAAACAAATATTTTTATAAACGTGCGAATGCATCCGATCAGTGTGTGCCCCATGAGTAAAGCGCTCGCGTCTAACCGTGAGCGCCACTCCTGCCCATCTTCTGTACGCGACCTGTGATACGCTAACTATTTCTTCTTATAATTTGAAAATTAAACTTCGGACAAAATTTTCGTAAAGAAAAAATCGTCTTAGAATTCGGTCAGGAATATGTCTCTTTATACCTGGATTGTTCTGAATCTTCCTGTATACTGCGTTTATAAACATTATTTACAAGAACTCGGCGTGGTTTCGCGCATAAGGTGCAAGATTATAATGTTGGAGATTGTACAATCGAATTATGTTTTTCTCTTTTTTTCACAATTTTTTTGGAAATAAATAAAGTTTATAAATAAACATATTAGGACAAATGCATTTTTATATAATTGTTGAAATTATACATGTATTTATAAAAGTTTTACATTAAACCAACAACTGTAGGAAGAATACCGAATCACTTTATTCAATAAACAAATAAAAAATTATTTTAAAATTGCACAACATATAAAAGTTTTTTAATTTGTAGAAAATTGTAACGATGCACCCCTAGACAATGCATCGTGGTGCATGCCCGGTCTTCCACCAAGCCAGATGCCGCGGTGCGACCGATATTATATTAAACAAAATTCACAGGTAACGACAGTTCGCAACAGAGACTCACGTTTGGGCCGCGAAACTCAAACACGACCGAGTATCGCCGAGCCCCCGATCTCTATGAGATATCGCCGAAAGGCATACTCGTGGGGGAGCCCGGGTGAAGGAAGCCCAGCGCCGCCAAGCTCCGACGAGAAAACATTATTTTACGACTATAAAAGATATTGTATTCGTCGTCGGAGCTCTCTTTTTCCTGATAATCCTCGTACCAACCAGATCCTATTGTAGCCAGTATTCCGATCTGCTACGCTATTATCGATTCCGATCCTAGTGTCAGTCCTGAGCGTGGGGGGTAAGGCGTCTTGCCTCTATCGAGTGCTCTCGATACGCTTTCCGTTCGGCTTCGATCGTTTTCTACTAAGTAGGCGAGAACAAGCGAATAGAGCGCGGTCTGCCTCCACTGGGCGTTTCCAGTAAGCCGAAAAGGGAAACCCCGTCATCCGCATTTCTGTTCAAGCGACTGACAGTAGTCAGGGAGTCGAGTATTCTCGGCCTCCGCTGAGCTTTCTCAATCGATGATCGTCAGCGCGCTGTACTGCAAACTTCTTCTTCTTATTGATTATTGGCTCCTGCCTCCCATATATGAATGGAGATACGGCCAGATCACGTCTTTATGAGAGATAGAAAAACTAAAAGCAATGCCCGAAAATGGGATTAAGAGAAATGAAAAAAAATTGATTAATAGGTGAATTGTTCCAATGAAAATAAACGTATATACGAGTATAATTTCAATATATATATATTATATCGTTCATACGATATAATACAATATATATATATATATATATATATATACACAATATATATATCGTTCATACGATTTCCAACATTCTGATCTCGCATCTTACGCGTGAGACCACGCAGAGTTCTTGTAGATCACGTTTATGAACGCGATATATAAAGTACACGGAAAATCGTAAACAATTAATATCTTGTAAACTACCGCATTTTAAAGTCAATCTTGTTATTATAAATCGAATTCGCTTTAAGATACATTTAATTGTCATTATGATTATTGAAATGATTATTTACAGAAACGCTACGAAAATATTCAATAGCTGACGTAATCATGAGACAAGCCTCATCAGCTTACACTTTTAGAAATTCTCAACTAACTATCCCAAAAGGTCAAGTAGTCAATATACCTGTCCATGCTATTCATCTCGATCCAGATATATATCCCAAACCTGAAATTTTTGATCCTGAGAGATTCATTGGTGAAGCAACTCGATCTAGACAATCAATGCATTACATACCTTTCGGATATGGCCCAAGAAATTGTCTTGGTACGTAATAAAAAGCAATAATATATATTTCAGTTTAACAATACATTGTAAGTTAATAACATAACGATTATATGATGGAATTGAAGATGTTATTATTGTTAGATAAATATACTAAAACTCCAATCAGCGAATATATTACCTTGACCTTGAAACATACATAGCGCAATTTCAATAGTTGCTTTCCATTTAGATACAAGAGAAATTGAGTCTGAGACTGAGTCTTTCACACTCAGATTAATGACGTCACTATTTGCTTATTTTGGTAAAAAATTATCACATGGCAGTACAGGTTCATAACTTACTTTTAAAGAGAGTTTACGAGACTCACTAAAGCATACGGTCTCGATTGTAAGTAAAAATATTGCAGATTATAGGTAAAAACTCAATTGAATCTTGTCAAAAGGTAAAAGAAACGTGCATTCAATTGAATTATGACGTCGCAAGTGAGAATTATTTAAGAATTGATGTAAATGGAAAGCAACTAATATTTTCATAAAAGTTTTATCTATTACCGGTAATTTCTGAGTTTCTAATTATTATTGATTGTAATAGTTACATTTGTACGTTTCTCTAATCCTTTAGCTATCGTTTCTTTTAAATTAATTTGATACAGTAAAATTAAACCACTTTTCTTAAAGAAAACATCATTTTAATTTAATAAATGCATATAAAAACAATATTCTTTGCTAAAATAAATGTTTTTCTATTTGTTTAAAAATAGTATATTTTCTTTACAAGAAAGATATAATTTTTTTCATTTAAAATTATGTACCATATTTAATCATGTTTATTATTCATGCATATTACAATTATGTGTATCAAAAGAACATATTATACACAATAATTTGCTCTTACATGCTTGACAATCCATTTTCACAAAAAAAGTATATTTCAAGACGACAAAAAGGTAAAAAGATCATGAAAGATATGACATTAAATAACAAATACTAGATAGACAGATAAGATAACAAATACTAGATCAAGATCATATAGAACTAGTTTATTAAGACGATAAAATGAATAAATTAAAAATTAGTGTTCCCAACTATACAATAGTGGAACGTTTCGACTTTACTTACAAGGAAACCGTCGGAACTTACCTTCACCGAATTATATTTAATTTACACCTATGTAAATGGATATTGATCCTGACATTGGTATTTGGTACCAAAGTTAAGTGCAAAGAAAAAAACATAAATTGCCTGAGACATTACAACTTTTGATATAATTGTTTACACATATATGTACAACATACACACCCACAAACACAAACACATACTTGCACACGCGTGTATGCACGCACGCGCGCACGCACGCGCGCGATAAGCAAAATCGATCTTCACGTTGTGCATCTTGGGTAGGTAAGAAATTCCTAGCGAATGCCAGTGGCAAAACAATTGTTAAGAACTTTTTTGATGAAAACAGCTTTGATGAAAACCTTTTGAATGTTGAGGGTCAGGTCATGATCTTGATAATATATGTATGTCAAGATCAAGGTGATTGGAGTGAGATCTTTTTCCAGAATATTTTTTTTTTTTTTTTTTTATTTGTTACAGTGATAATAATTTTATTTTTGTTACATTAGTAACAGTTTTATTATTATTACCATCAAGATTTTATTATTATTATCACTTTGTCATTATTAATAATAACATTTTACTTTAGGTGAACGATTTGGCCTATTACAATTCAAAATGGGACTCATTACTTTTTTACGAAATTATAAATTGGATGTTTGTGAAAAAACCCCAAGAAATTTAAAATATATTTCCGCAGTACTTGTTCAACAACCTAAAGACATATATCTTAAAATAACAAAAATTGAATAATACCTAATACATACATAATAACCTTTATATCTTGTAATAGCATTAATTATTTCTAAGAAATAATCCTATTCTGTAGATAAAATAATATAATAAAAAGTTGAAATAAAATTGTAATTACATGTTGAACTATTAAAAATTGTTATTATTTTCGGCTTTATATAAAACACACCGTTTTCCTACAATTTTTCAAAAACTTTTGAAGCATAACTTTGTTTGATTAAAACTGAATAATTTCGAAATACGATAAAATACCAATATACTGCACTTAAAAAACCTGTAACTTTTTTTTTAGCAAAAATCTAAAAATAAAAGATTAATAAAAAATTAGGCTGATGAGAGCACAACATGGTACTGCCTTCCCCTGTAAAATGTCCGAATGGCAGGGGACACAGGAAGGAGGCAAGACCCGAGATGGATCCGGTCAATAAAGGCAAGATCCAAGGTGGATCCGGCCGGTGAAGGCAAGACCAATTAACTTCATAAAGTCACATCGAAGTCAGTGATAGAGTGTTTATATTTGGTCTACATCAAATGCTCAAATGCATCACCAACATTCTGTTGGATACATAGTTGCAACCATTTTTCGAATGCATCGACTGTTTTTGAAAACATTGGCATATTTCTACTACATGCCCGTCTGATGTGGTACTTTAGGTCTTCAGCTGTGGTAGATGCGATCTGACAAACAATGTTTTTTAAATAGCCCCATAAGAAAAAATCTGATGATGTTAGATCTGGTGATCTGGGAGGTCATGCTATATGACTACCTCTTCTAATCTAATGACGCTGATAAGTTAAATTTAAAAAATCCCTTACAGGGCGTGCGTAATGTGGTACCACCATCCTGTTGCAACCACATACGTTGAACTGTATTTTCATCGACAAACTCTAACATCCTTGGCAATACTTCTCGTAACATACGTAAGTATGATTCTCCTATAACATTACCATAAAAAAAGTGGAATCCAATATGACCATCTAAAGTATCACACCAAACTATCATCTTCCATCGTTGCTAATTGTCTACATGACAAACCCAGTGCGGTATCGGAATAATAATGGTTATTATGCCGATTCAGCATGCCATTGCTCTCAAATGCAAACTCATCACTAAATATGAGGTGAGAAAAAAATGTGGGATTGAATTAAATTTTCTCTACAGCCCATCTGCAGAATGTGACACGAAGAATTTTGTCGTTATCAGAAAATTCCTGATTAAGTGTAATGTGATAAGGATGAATGTGATTGGCATGTACAATTCTATATAGTTGCAGGAAACACATTTAATTTACGACTAATTTGTCGTTGACTAATGTGCGGATTCATTATTACCATTCCTAGTATAGTTACGATAACAGCATCGTCGTTATTTAATGGTTTTTTAGAACGTTTCATCAATCCTGTATGCGCTCTAGTTGTTAAACGCAAAATTGCTTTATGATATTGTCTATCCGGATACCTATCTCGATACTGACGAACTGAAATCCCGAAGGAATTCTGCTGTCCACTGCGGATGTCTTCATCACATGCCTCCAAAAAACGTGCCATTTTGTTTTTTAGAATTATAATTTTTGTACATCAAAATACAAATAACAAATAGATATGAAAAAATTTTTTGTATCATGTACAATTTTTTAAAAATCACCTCTCAAAGTAAGGTATGATTTCGAGGCCTCCAGGGTGGACTAACCCCTTAAAGATGTAAAAAAAATACAACTAATAATTATTTTATAAAATCTGAAATTTAGTAGAGCATTAAATTATTTAATGTACGAAAAAAAAATGGACGACTTTCTGATGGGGCTAACATCTCATCGGACGCAATTAATTATATGCACAAATATATTACATTCTAAAATACTAGGAGCGGAATCTATTGCTCAAGATTCGAGATGGTCTTAAGCTAGTGCATGAACCAATCGGAAAGCCGGAAATATTAGCATCTTAAGACATTGCTTGAGATTGAGGATGCCATTACATAAAGCGCGGAAATGTGGAAACGCGAAAACGTGTGGAAAACAAAATTAATTAAACTTTACTAGATTTCCGCGTTTCCGTGAGTTCTGTTCCGCCTATTTTGATCTCCTAATATTAATACATAAAGCACAATTTCCACGGAAAAGCGGAACGGTACAGTGACAAATATACTTTGTGTATTTATTTAACAAAATTGTATCTACTTAATTCGTTGCAATTTTTATTAATATGCTTATCTTTTCACCTTATGTATTGAATACAAGCATTTCAATCAATAAATACCGTTAAAAATTAATAATTTGTAATTCCCCGTTCCGTTCAAATTAGCTCCATGTAATATTAAGAGATCAAAACAGGCAGAACAGAACGCGTGCAAACGCGGAAATTTAGTAAAGTTTAGTTAATTTTGTCTTTCGCGCGCGCGCGCATGTTTTCGCATTTCTGCATTTCATGTAATGGCCTAAGAACGGACTATAGATTTCGACCTAGGAATGTTATTTCAAGACGCGCATGCACTTTGAAAATATTAATGCGGTCTTGTTTTAAGCTGGGTTCACATCTCGACGGAAAAATGGAAAGCGGAAAAGCGGAAGCTAATCAGAACTCGCGGAAAGACAGAAGTAGCAAGCAAAATGTACTACTACTGCAAGTCCCGATTGGCTTCCGCTTTTCCGCTTTCCGCTTTCCGCTTTTTCGTCAAGGTATGAACCCGGTCTTATAGAGTGCGATCTTAGTGCTACAAATGTTTTGAAGCTCTTAATTGACCAATCAAAAAATGCTTCGAAGTATTTGTAGCATATAAACCGTAAGCAAATAAATAAACCGTAGCATGTCCGTATTCTCCTTTCATTCATATATTAGACTCAATCTATAATACAATTGAATAAACGTAAACGTGAGTAGTTGTGGGAGTAGTAGCAGTAAATGTTATACATACATGTATAATACAACATATTAATTTACAATCGAGTAAGGCTAATATTACATGTGTTCGTTTTTTATCGTACAATTTTTCAAGTCTGCCGATTGGCTATAGGACAAAAAGGTCCGAGATTCTCTCTGTCCTGCAGCCAAACACTTAAAAAATTCGTCGTATGACAAAAAACGGATGCATATAAAGACCATTCTACATTGGTCGTATCGTAGCATCGAAAGCGTCGTAAACATCATCATGCGACTTTAAAATTAAAGCATTGGATTGGCTGAAGCAACAAACTTGCGACTTGCGACGTCTTCAATGTAGAATGGCCTTATATTGGCCTAAAGATATGTCGTAACTAGGCTGCGTTCGGAAGCATTATTCGAGTGACCCCGTGTATCATGTTAAGCTTGCAGCGGATTAAAATCTTGCCGTATTGATTATGATGCTGGCATTGACAGCTATCATCCAGCTAGCAATCCAGCAAGAAAACAAGCATTGTGTACCGCAGGCTTTATTCTTGTTTAACATTAAGTAATAAGGATAAAACGATAGATGGGGGCACTCGGATGATATTTCCGAACGCAGCCCTAGTAAGATTACGACAACCAATCAGAATATAATTTCGATAACAGTAGTATTGATTGTTTAAACTCATGGCACATACAAAAACGTAAAGCCGTAACACGTAAGCAGTAAGGAAATCGTAATATTCGATTCGCTCCTGGCCTTACGGTCTCTATCGTGATTGGGCAATTCGCTTACTGATTGTCTTACGGCCTTACGTTTTTGTATGTGCCATGGGCTTTACCATGATGGATAAGACAGAGATTGCGTTCGGATAGAATAAGAAATAACGCTATTAGCGCTATTTCTGTCATTCTATCTTTATCTTTTGCTATTATACATGTTATAAAATTAAATTTATAAATTTATTACATGCCTTAACTTAAAATTAACGACATATAATGGTTGCGTTCAGCGGACTCAATAGTTGGGTGAGTTGTTATTGGTGTATTCTTGTAGATCATCCAATCAGCACTTTAGATCTGAAAGAATACATCAATAGCAGTAAGCGCTCACTCAATTGTTGAATCCGCTGAACGCAGCCAATGGCGCGAACACATGACAGTTCTCTGATTGGTTCACTCTTATGTTTTACACAGTCGTAGCCGTGAAAGATAAAGTTGAGCTATTTTTCATAACCCATTTTTTAACTAGTATAGTAGCAGGTTAAAACTGCGCTTTACAACGTTTTATAATCGCTAACGTCTACGTTTACTCAATTGTAAATCGAGCTTGTTCTATCACGTAAACTGTTCGAAATATCAGATACTGATTTTTCTCAAAATTTTTCAAGTTGATTATCCACTGCATATTCAGAGAGAGAGAGTATCCGACAAATCATTCTCATCTATCAATCATTATCTATTGCATCCCTACAGTCAATATCACGAAGCAAGATTTTACTATATAGAAATTTTATTGTACAATAAATAAAATAAAGCAAATATTATTATAAAAGAATATTACAAGTGGTAAGACTTTTCTCATCGATAATTCCTAAAAAATAGAGACATACCAGAGCAGCACCTTGCTCGGCCCATTTTTTGTTTTTTTCCCTAAAAAAAAAAAAGAATACAATGTAATAAAAAAAACAGAGAAAAATTATTTTTCGTTTATTATAATTTACCAGAAAGAGGAACCATATTTTCTGCCATCAACAGTAACAACAGAACAAAAGAGTTTACTCTCCTGCCGAGTATTATATACTGGCATTTTCTTACGATTTTCCTTAGTCCACTTAAGTAATCTAGTCTTTGGCAGTTCTGAGTCTGTTATATAACTGTTTCTCAAAAAAGCACAGCGCATTAGGGAAACATCTTCTTCTTCATGAATTTTTCTTTTATGAGAAATACTATTGTTATCTTTATCGAGAATTTCCGGCATTACTTGAAAACGACCTAATAAACCTTTAGCCTGAAACTCTTCACTTTTGGATCGACAATCATCATCTAATCTCCACACTTGACTGAAAAAGTTCATTGAATAAAAATAAAAAAAATAGCAAATAAGAAATAAACAAGATAAAACATTCACCATATTTGTTCCAGTGTTTGTGCATTGAGAAATCTTCTGCCTAGAGGAGATTCCTGAAGTTCCCGTAGAATATTCTGTATGCAATATTTTGTATTAGAAGGTGAATTGTCGCAATTAATTGCATGCTTTAAATACGACTTTATAACATTTTCCATCGGAAGAGAACCTTCTTTACGAAATATTGAGCAATTCCACTCAGCGGCGCGAGCAAGCATTACGCTACTACAACCTGTTTCTTTTTTAAATCTGTGGAAATATGTTTTAACAAATTAAACGAAATCTTCTGATAGACATGCGCCAAAACGTTACCTAAATATATCGGAATGTTTTTGAATATCTTTAGATCCACCATTGGCAATAACTGGTATCGAAAGTCGAGCAGAGATTTGTTTGAGAACATGGTTGCGATTAGGATGTTGTGGTCTTTCCTCAATAGTACGACCATGGACAGCAATAGCTGCGATACCAGTAGAGGCAAGGGTATCGCAAAGTAGAAGAGTTTCCTCGAGATCAGGCAAAATGCGTATTTTGCAAGTAATTGGTATAGTTACTGTCTCGATCAGTTTCCGTAAAATATCGGTCGCTTTCTGTGGTTCGCGAAGAAGAGATGCACCCATTCCTCCAAGTATTGAAAATTTCTTTGGACAACCCATATTAACGTCTATGCCTGCAACGTCATTTTCTACCATACGAGCGACTTGAGCCGCTCTTGTTGGATCAGATGTACCAATTTGAAGAACAACATGTTCTCGTTCCCGAGAACAAGTACGAAATACTACAGTACCATCTGTCTTATCGATATAATCAACAGTGCCTAAGACATCTGCAAATAATGAAAGTAAATCTAACAATAAGACAATCAATAAGATTACATTTAATTGTGTCGCTAATTAGATCACGATCATAATTTTAGCAAGAAGACAAACGTATTATAAGTTAGATTTAAAAAAAAAAACAATTTCATTTTTAGATAAACAAGATCACTTAATTTTAGGATAATTATACAGTTTATCACTGAGCATCTCAAAAATCAATAAAACTTATTTGATGTGTAAAATGAAAGAATCTGGCAGAAATAAGCATCGCTCCGTCCCGCGAACCGAGATATTAAAGCTTATCCTACAATATGCTCTTTGTTTCCTGTTTCTTGCTTTTTCCCTCTTTGCAACCATTTTATCGACAATTGTATTTCTTACTACATGTTCCTATTTCTTCCAAAGTTCACTAACTTTTATGTCAGACGACATAAAACAAAAAACCGGATAAGAAACAAAAAGACAAGATATATAAAATAGCAAAAAGCAAGAAACAGAAAATAAAAAAAGACATTGTAGAATAAGCGTTAAAGTTGACACTATTGAGGTTAAGAAATCTGTCACAGAGGCGCAACGCGATCTACCTATATGTGTATACACACGGGGACAGGAATGCCTATCCAACTGAAGTTGTACGCGTAGAAGAGATAAGAAGAAATGAGAAAAAGACATGAGAAAGCATGAAAAGGCATCAAAAGATAGGCATTCCTATCCCCATGTGTATATACATACAACATGGGTTTCGAGTTTCGATTTTCCAAGAATTCCAAGTTGCAACGTGAAGCGACTTTCATCAGTTTCACCACTCCCCCCCCCTCCCCCCACCCTTCCTCCCGCTTAAGAAGCGCACGATTTTTATAATTGTAGTGATGTAGTACACCCATGTGCAACAGTACAATTATAGAAGTCGTGTACCCCTTAAGCAAGGGGGGTGAGGTGGAAGTTGCTTCGCACGGAAACCAGAGACAGGATTCTCTGTGGAAAGTACGGAAACTGAAAAAAATCGAAACCCATGTACAATGCATGCTTGCATCACAGTATTTCGCGGGACAGATTTCCTAACCTCAATAGTCGTCAACGTTTAACGTTTAATATCTAGATTCACAGGGCAGAGTGACGGTTTTTTTTGCCAGATTCTTTCGTTTCATATAAAAACACGAATAACGTCGAATAAGCCTAATTTTAATGATTTTGTAGGTGCTCAATGGTAAACTGTATAATTCCTCGACATCATTTGTTGCTGTTTAATATTAAATTTGATAAATATAAGGAATGAAACAATTCGAAGAATGCTGTGAGCGTCAAATGGAACGTAGCTGTAATAATGTATATAAATCTTATGCAATTCGTCTCAGTCCAGTTAAACAAAAGAACTGTTTATTTTACCATTCTCTCGGCGAATCGAACGAAGTAGTTTCCTGTCAATTAATTCCTCGGTGTACACTATATCCGCGCCATAGTCTAAGGCGAGCAAACGCATGGGAAGAGTTCCGATGCGCACCATAGGCGCCAGGATGAGCTTATTGTTGTAATCGAGTCTCTTTCTCGTAATCGATTTCTCTTCCATGTTGGCATATGGATTAGTAATGATTCATTCGAGAATATAAACGTTTAAGTACTTCTTCTTTTACTTTTAAGAGTGGCACTGAATCGAATCACTCGCGTACTTGATCATTTACAACACTCATCATACCCCTCACTAATACCATGGTGGATTCTACCATTTCCATTAATTCCACCTTGGAGCTACCGCTCTGTAAGCCTCTAACCTCTAAACTCTCTTTTACCAATTCTACCATTTCTACCGTCAGTACCGCCCGAAGCTGTGCGAAGCTGTGCGAAGCTGGCCGATCGCCGAAGTGCCGCTCATGATATAAATATTTATTTACGCTTGTCGCCGTATCCCCTCCACTTGCCACAAAATACCGTAAACGGCTAGAAACTGGAAATCTGGAAATGGTATCGCTGCGCTGATCACTGCTCCATACATCACTGATCGTATTTCGTAAGTAGTAAATCGTAAGTGAGATTGACACTGGCAATTTGGATGGAAAATTCGACCGACTATTCTCGATTGGACGATCATAAATTATTTGGAAAGGCAACGTTCGCGACGAGACAACGGTGATCATGGTGAGCGCGAGCAGTGTCGTGGCGCATCTCGTGAAATTGCTGGTGACTGCAATGTGTATGGGACATCTCGCTGAGCCCTACCGGGTAAAAGCCTTGCCGATCACGTGGTCCTTGCGTGCCTTTCGAATCCTCTTCATGCACTCGATATTGGGAATCTTCAGATTTGGTAAGATGAATGCCTTTATGCCCTCAAATCTTGTTACGTTTGCTCCTCTTCCAAAGATATCTCTTTTCTATTATATATTACAATCAGTCAACATGAAACCAATTAAAATTTAATTAAAAATCTTTCCTTTAATTCTACTTTGTTCTGATTTTATTTATTATGATTATCCTGATTCTCTTTCAAATGAACCTGGAATGTTATCGTAACCAGGGTTGAGCATGTATTAAATATAGCGTACTATACATGATTTTTATATGTATAATATCATATGTTAAAATATGTAATTATATAGGGTGTCCCGTAAGTTTTGGCCAATCGTTTTTGTATGTTGATAGAGGGAACTAAACTGAGTTGACAAGTCCTCTATCATTTTGCAATTTTTGCAATAGTTAATAAGGTATTAATTACTAAAAACTGCCAAATATTGATCTTGAATAATTTCTTACTCAAATACTATCAACTTTACAGAAAAATTGCAAGAGATAAAAATCCTGTACATATGTTTTATATGTTTATATTATACATATTATACATAGTAAATCTGACAATCTGATGAACGATGTGATTCTACTTATTGACGCAATATATATGACTTCGATTTTACTTTATGTAAGTTTTTATATTATTATTGTATAAGTTAATATTTTTGACAATCATTTGGTTATTTATTACATAACTAATTTGGATAAAGAAGAATGAGCTAAATTATCAGGAATCAACATCTTGGAATTGACGTTACTTATGTAGTTTTGATTTTTATTTTATATTAATAAGGATCCGAGTTAAAAGGTTGAAACGTTTATTTTATTCGTTTTGTTACATTCACAAATAAAGAGTTTTCTGTACATTCGAACAGCCGATGTAGGCTCTGATATAGGCTTTTTTATATTCTTCACTGATCTTTCAAGCCTCATTTTTTATATATTTGTTCATATTATACATACATATTATACATATATATATATTATATGTAAGAAACTACTAGCAGTAGTTTAAATTGCCCAACCCTGACCGTAACTCATCAAATAATATTGTTGCGTTGCTATTTTTTCGGTCCTAAATTTTCAAAGTATCTTTTTTTTTAACATATCTATGCTTTTTCTCGACAATTTGCCTTTTTTTTTAATCGCTATCCTCTTTAAGATACAATCACTTATAGGTATGGGCCATCTAAGATTCCATGTCATAACTTGAAGGGGGGGGAGGGGTCACAATGAAGAGTGATTGATACAAAATGACACGTAGTCGCATACAATATTTAATTTTTGCGTCTGAATCAGGAATAGGAGAGGAAGATATTTGCTGCATTTATCAACGTTAAGGATTCATGGTAATTCATGCAAATTATTTGCTATCATTGGAACACGTGAGGAACTATCATAAAAACATATTTGATTCTAAAGTTCTAGGTTTGTCTTAAATTCATCTTAAAGATTTTTACATTTTACTTAGATATCCCAATAAAAAATAGTTGAATTTTTATAATTATTTTTATATAATATCATGTTATTTTTATTTTTTTCGAGATAAGTAACTTCAGGTTGGATATTAGTCTTTATATGTATTATAATTACAAGATTTTATACACATCAGTAACTTGAAAGTTTATATCCTTCTGTACCTTTAAAAGAATGTTTTAGCACATAATACAGCCACAATGATTTTTGTCTACTTAATGTGAGTTTTGATAAGCATTGTCTACTTGTAATTGCATATGTAATATTATTTCTTACATGTTCCAACAACTAATACAATTTATAATATGCTCATGTGAAATTAAATTATATTTATATACAGTATCTTTACACAATTATAACATTGAATCTTATTATATCATTTTTAATTCTCTCACCCTCCCCTCCCTCCCTCCCTCC